TCCAAACTTCTTAAGTGCATCCATAACTTGATATACGCACAGCTAAATGCATGAGCAAATTCTTTTATAACAGAGCGACAACAAAGATCTGCGAGAAGAAGCCTTTTACTGTGATATAGTGCGAAATTCCCCAGATTGAACAAATTTAAAAACAACAATAAAAAGGGAAATTTTACCTTTATATGTTGTTAATGACCAGTTGGTGACTTTTTTTTGTTCCCATTGAATGTCTTTCGGCCAAAATTTGCTACAGCTGGTCTTCCGACAAATTTGCGAAACGTGCAACTTGCGAGTTTTTTCGGCTTTATTTTTGTTGCTTGTTGGATCAGGACCTAAAAGGTCAATGCCGGTAGAAAAAATTTGGTAGTTCTTCGCTGGTTTCTTCCATATTTCTAAGAGAAGGAAAACTGTACTGCAGCTTAACAGAACGGAACCTCTGAATCCAAGTCAAAAAAATGCTCACGTCATCTTATTTACGCACCGGCGTGCGTAAATAAAAATTTTGTTCATAGCGGCTCAATAGGACTTATACAGGGCAAGCACGCGCGCTATGTTATAATAATGTTTCCTTTTGCTACAGAGTCTATTTTCACATACCTCATGAAATTTTCAATTGGCTATAACAATGGCTGAGTTGCTTGTTAAAAAAGATAATGTTTTCTTTTCTTTTCCACTGAATGTATTTGATGTTTGTTATGTTGTTGATGGAAAAATAAGAACCATTTTCCCTTTGAAATGAACTGGATGTAAATTGTCTGTTTATTCCTTCATAATGCACCATTTTGTCACAAAGAAACGCAACGGTTCAATCATGAGATTGACTGTACTTTAAAATTTAAAGTGTGAAAGTTCTAACCAAGAGAAGCAACAAGTTTTAAAAATTCAAAAAATTATAAACTTGAACTGTGGTACTAGTTAAATGGAGTACAAACATTAATCATCCCTCACATTGATGATCATGGATAAAGTCAGGAAATATACAAGAAATATCAACATTAATGTCCACTCTGTAACATTGTTCTCCAACTGGTGATACCTTTTCCCTTCACTCTCTGAGAACTGGCACTGTCGAGGTTCCTTGTAGAGTAAATCTTAAGCTGTGTATGCAAATGAACTGGGGCTTCTTTCTGGGGAAATCATAGAGGATGAACTAGCACAATGACTAGATCCTGCAAATGGGCTAAGGCTTCTTCCTGGGAAAATGATAGGGGATGAACCTGCAGAATAACTAACTGCGGGCTGTCTTTGTGACATGAAGAGTTCCATTAACTTTAATTCATGCTCACGAGCTCGCTGATTTTCCTCTTTGAAAAAATGCATCAGCTGTGTTGTTGGGTCATTATTAACCACTTTTTCAAAAAGCTCCACAGCAGTGGACAAAGCGCTAGAAGAGTTCTGAGATTTGACTTTCTTTCTTCTACCCTTCCTTATAGGCACAAATTGTTTCTTGTCAGAGTCGTCACCTTGGTCAAGACCGTCACTTGATTGCTCATCAGTGGGGGTTCTGTTATCTGTTGCTCTTTTCACTGGCTCCCCGTCCGACAACTGCAGTGATGAAGAAGACTCTACTGCCATGTCAGGGTTACATGAATCCCTTGTTTGGACCAGTGGAAATAGTTGATTAAACCAGGCTCCCAGCTGCTTTTCATCTTGAACCCTTTTTACGCCCGTCGAGGTCTTGACAGTCAATGCAATTTTTTTGCACTCAGATATGCATTTCTTAAACTTGTTCCTGAGCTGATCTACGCTAAACGGGAAGCTACCATCTTCATATCTCTGGCCCAAATCTTTGAGCACATTAGCATATATTTCTGCGTTCTTCGAATTTTTCGTCTTCGTGAAAATCAACTTCTTCTTATAGTACTCGCTACTACATATCACATCTACTAAATCATTGACATGTCGCTCTTCCCATACGCTTCTCTGTCCCTTTCGCTTCTTTTTCCTCGAGCTGCACACCTCACTCTGTTCACTGACTCCTGTGTCGGATTCGTTTGAATCAGTCTCTTTGTCGTTATCTGGAGAATAGCTGTCGAATGATGCAGGTGAATATCTTTTTAAAAAAGTTCGGGAAACGTCGGCGGAGCTATTGTCACCGTCGGATTCCTCTTCTTTCAAGCTTTCGGGCAAAACGGGTAGATTTTTGCGCCACGACGCCATTTGTCTTTTTTTTATTAGTGCGTATGCGTAATAGTATGCAAATAATGCAAAATACGTTAAAGTAATTTATGAATTGAGTTCGGCGCGACAGTAGCACAACGTTTGAAATCAAGTCGTGCTACTGCCGTGCGGCACGGCAAGGTCTGCCGCTCTAAGAAGTCGTGCCGAACCTAATTCAGCCGTGCCGCGCTTAATGGTTTCAAACGGCGTGCTACTGCCGTGCTTAAATCGAAATTACTATTTCATTTGAGTTCGGCACGGCAGTAGCACGACGTTTGGAACAGGCCTCAGCCACGAAATCTTTTAAATTAAAAGGTTTAAATAAAAAAACAGTAAAACCTGTATTAAGCGGTCACCCACTAGAAGTGGCTAGGTAACCGTTTAATACAGGTAAACCGCTCAATACAACTCTCACAGAATAGGGTACTATAAGGAATTGATGGTAAAGGTCATTATGTGCTATAATTGACCACTTAATGTACAAAAATTTGCTCAATAACACAATCAACATTTATAACGGGAGATAAATATGAATTAATATTACGAGAAGGATTATTCTTAGACTTATTTGAGTGGTCCGCTTTAAAGAACTGTTCAATACAGGTGGAAGACGATACAAACAGGCCGATGGGACTCAGTGAAAGGTGACCACCACCGCTAAATAGAGGTGACCGCTTAATAGAAGTGAACGCTAAAAAGAGGTGAAAATTCGTGTAAATAAGGGGTAAAAATTTCGGCAGTAGGACAACTGACCGCTTAATACATAGTGACCGCTAATTACGGTGCCGCTTAATACAGGTTCGACTGTAAGAAGGAAGAGACAGTAGTATCGATGATAAGATTTCAGAGCTCGATTTTCTTTTAGGAGAAATACTTAAAAATGAAATAACTAAGAAAGGCAAAGTTTTCGGTGCGCCCGAAGGATGTCATATCTTTATACGAAGCAAAGCTAACCGAAATTTCAAACGCCGTCATCTTTAAATAACTACGTCGCTTTAGTTTCCTTTTGCCGCCAAAAACAACGACCTTGTTTTCGTCTCTCTTTCTCTGCGCTTACTGATCTCATCGTCGTTCTCTTCGTCAAAGTTTTTTTAAACTTCCGAAAATAATGATAAAAGGGACGACGAAGACAACAGCAACGGTGACTGCAACGGCAATGACGACGATAATGAATGCTAATAATAATGATGCTAAGAGTCAACTTCTCATTAAGAAACCAAAGATTTCTCTAACTTAAAGTTAATGATTTTTTTATATTTGTTGACAGTGAACCGAAAACATTCCCTCCTTTAATACTTACCGGCATCTTGGGCCACAAACACTGCTGCTGCAGCAACTGAACCAACTATCAGGGAAGCAACAACGTCCAGGCGCACTCCGAGCCATCTGGCACTGGCCATCACCATGATAGATATCTGATTATGGGTATCTTGGTATCTACGAAAAGAAATTGGTAATTTTTCAGCGTGTTTCCGCAACTTGTTTGTTTAAATGTGCAACCAGAAATTCCTTTTTTTTAAACAAGGCGTCACTTCTACAGAAAGAAGCCGCTAACGTACCTTTATAACTCATGGACGAAGTCTCTCTGCCTATTTCTTGTCCGAATTGTGTCCAATCCATTCAACGTCTTCGATATGTGGGAGAAAACAGGGCTGCGGCTGATTGATTCCAACCTTTTTAGCTCTCGGGACGTTTTCGAGTAATACTTGGAGACGAACGCCACAAAAGTCATCAATGGAACGATGACGAACAGGAGCCAAGGATTTGCAACAGTTGGTATAAGTATCGTACAAATAGCTAGTAATGATGACTGAATTGACAACAGAAACTCTTTGGGCAAAAGCTCGTCCATGCAGCCAATGTCTTTCGAGAACCGATTGAGGATTCTTCCTACTGGATTTGAATCAAAAAACAACACTGGTGATCGTAGAAGAGCTACTACCATCAAGTTATGGAGACTTTCAGAACATTTCAGAGAAACCCATAGGAAAGTATATGCTCGAACGAAGGCGAGCATAACGCACCCACTGACAAGACAAGTGTAGATGATAATGTTTATCTTGTTTCTCTGATCTTCTGGAAGCTTCTTCGTCATAAGCGAGACAATTATTGCTGAAATTAAAACATACCAATTAAGTTTCCACTAGGTCCAATGCTACAGGGGTGACTATATAATATCTAGATTTAGCCAAGCCTAAAAGCGGAGCTCGCATTTTTTTCCCCGCACGTCTCAAAGGCACAACGCCTTGCCCCGGCCGGGACTAGAACCCGGGTCGTCCGACTCAGAGCCCAGTGCACTGACCACTAGACTACTGAACCAAGCAGTGGCGTTGGCGTGCCCGCGGTACAGTTGACCACGCATGTTAAAAGTAGCACCTTGTACGGTCGAACGGTCGTACATCCAAATTTTTTCGGTTTGATGGGTTACTACTATTTTGTATAATTATGGGGCTACGCTCTGCGAGCTCCGCTATAAGAAGAACGCCGTAAGATAATAAACAGCAATTAGGTTATAGCGGGTCTCTTGTCTAAAGTTGACTTCTTTTGCATTTTCCATGAAATACAGTCGGCCTTCAGATCACATAAGAAAGGCTTACCTTGCGCAATGGGGAACAAACATATCACAGCAATGATTCCCATAGAGTGAATTCCACTACTGAAGTAGTCCCAGTAAAGCTTCGGTGACACCCTTCCGATGGTACGATCCTCATCCGATATTGTCAGGCCCTTCTCTCCAGTGGATGGTGGATCTTTTTCGTCACCACTATCGATGAATTTCTCTTCTTGATCATTATATTTCTTGTCGAATGTCGAATCTTTTGGAGCCTTCTGATGTAATGGATTAACAAGCGTATTAAGAAAACCTTTCCCTTGAAGATCAGTGAAAGTACCCCTCCCTAAAACACGGCCTTTGTATAAGACTACCACTTCAGTTGCCTCTTTCATGTGCTGCTCTTGATGAGAGATTAACACCCTGGTTTTGTCGCTCAGGAAGTCTTGGATACAGTTTTCAAAGATGTGTTGACCAACTTTAAAGTCCAAAGCACTGAAAGGGTCGTCCAACAAATAAAGATCTGCGTCAGCGTACACTGCGCGAGCTAAACTTACTCTTGCCTGCTGACCGCTGCTAAGAACTTCACAAGTCTCCATTGGGCATTTCCTGCATGTCCTTAACAAGTGCACACGCTCGGAGCACCCTCTTGTACATCTGCTCATCGTATGGCAGACCAAACAAGATATTTTCCCGAATTGTACCGGAGAAGACCCATGCAATCTGTGGAACATAAGCAAGTTTTTCTGGGCGAGTCAGTGTTCCCTTTTTTTTTGGTACCTCTCCGGCGATGGCTGAAAGCAGAGTAGATTTCCCACTTCCCATTGGTCCAGTAATAACTGTCAAGCTTTTTGATTCTGTTATAAGGTCGATATTTTCTAAGATATATTCCTCTTCTCGACTGACCTGCATGCATGTCAAATTCGACACGCACAAATCTATTGCCATGCCCCGCTCATTCATTGCATCGTCAAAGTGATTGACTTCGACCCTCTCCTCGAGCTCGTGATCCTTCAATCTGCTTTTTAACTCTTTCAATTCAGATTTACTTTTGTCAGACGTGTGATCACATGAGACTGCAGGCAAATCTTTTAAGAGGAGGAAATCTTCTATTCTAAGAAGCGATACATAAGCTTCGTATATTTGCAGCCAACCATAGGCCAAGAAACAGCAAGGATTTAGTTAGTTAGGGTATGTCCTGTTAATAAAAAAGTCAGGACAGACACCAAGAGTGCTATAGGTCCTGAAGAGCCTTCCAAAGCGACAAGAGCTGTCAAAACCGCATTTTTCTTAATAAGGATTTTGATTTCATTCCTAAAACCCAAATCAGACATTAAATGTCTTTTAATTTCCCGTTCGATGAAATGCACGTGATGGTGTTCACACTTATATCGCTGCTAGTCGGAGTACTCGTTCCCTTAACCAGCAGTCGAAATAAAACAAAGTATGATTGGATATTGAAATTTAATAATAAGTCATATACTATGTGGCTCTCAGATTAAATTTGCTCATTTCGAATTTACATGCTTTTGAACCAAAATACATGGCTTATCCGTTTCTGAAGAAACGGTCCGTACGGTAAAATCCTGTCCAGGTAAGAACCAACTGATCACAACGCTCGGTTTTACCTCAAGACCAACTCACCTTAGTTTCTGTCTGTTTGCAAATCTAAAAATTTTCAACTGGTATTAATGAGCATCATTTCTATATTGTATCTCGTCACTACGCTCATTATGCCTTTTACAAGACATTAGGTTAGTCACTGACTCGTAAGTAAGGAAACTTAAACATGAGAGGTAAGATCGTCTTTTGCTTACCTACGTGAATATTTTATCCTTGCTCTGTATTCACTCTCGCATGTATACATTTTGATGGCGCGAATTCCAGAAATCACTTGGTTCATCAAAGAGAGGCGTAGACCCGACATTTCTGCTGTCTTCACTCGTAATACACCGTTCATGTAAGATAACCCAGCAAAGTATACAATAAGAAGACTAAGGGAAATGAAGCCCACAAGTGCTTGCCAGCCAATGAGGTGCAGGAGTAAGGATGGTAACGCCAAAAACTCTACAGTTGAAGAAACCGTCAGAAAAACATATTTGACAGTTTCGCCTTCCATTCGCTGAACGTCATTGGATAAAAGCTCAATTACGTAACCTGTCGTGGCTTTCAATAAACCATGTTTACTCAGAAGTAACATCTACGAAAAAAATATCAGGGGTTAACCTTTTATCGAAATATCTTTGTCTTCGTCGTGACTATCAAACCATGTACAGGACGGAAGAAAAGGAGCGCAATATTTCCTCACTCCATGGGGCAAATATTTTATGACAAACCAGCCTCAATTTCCGTATAATGAAAGTTTAAAGTCGGCGATAATTTTGGAGCCTATCCTCCAAGCGTCAAGAGGAGAGACGAAAGACAAAGCAAGTGGCAGTACCACTGAGAAATACTGGTTTGAGGACATGTGATACATTAGGAGCTAGGTTTCCGATCTGTCTGCAAATTTCTCCGATCTATCAATTGTTTTTGTGGATTTTTCTTTTTGTTTAAAATGGATTTTCACATCAACGCTCAAATTTACTTTAGAGTGAAATTTAACGCAGCTGAGTGCCCCCGTGAAGACTGGTTTTACAGCGATGTCCTTCTATATACTTAGTATTAGCTCACCAACCACCCATTAAATTCAATTGCAACAAGCTAACAGACAGCACTGCAGTCTTCCCTACCTTCTTTGTTTGAAGACTGGACCGCTTTTTCGTGAATTAAGTAACTATTTTAGTATGTTAAGGTGAAGTAAGGTAAGGCACGTTGATGCAAAGCCAAGATTTAGTTGTCTTCACCCGGTTGTTTTAATTTAACCTTAGCAATTTCCTTTGGCGTTCCGTCGGCTGCGTCAACTTAGCGGGACTTATGAGGATACTTAGAGACTATCCGTTTACCTACCTTATGGTAAATTAGACCTTTAAGGGCGCAACTCACTCTGATTCCCGTCAACTCGCCTCTATAACAAACGTGATGAAGTCCCATAGCTTGAAACAAACTGGTAATGAACATGGCCAGAGCTGAGAGATAAGCAAGATTGTTCTGTGCTTGAGATGAAAGGAGTGCGGAAATAATATATGTTATCAGCAGAATAAGAGAAATCTTAGACACTGAGTACATAGCACCCGACAATGAAAAGATAATAATATCCTTGACGGAGAGCATCTTCAGAACGCTTTTCCAAAGTCTTGGCTTCTTTCCTTTTTCTCTGCACTCGGTTTTCTCTTTGTTCCAGTTTGATTGAAGTTTTTCGGTCGCAGCACAAGTTGTGTTTTCAGTGGAATGAGGTACAAAGTCACTCTCCTGTAAGGCCCGTTTACTGCCAGTTTTAAAGGTGCTGTCCATCCAGCTAAAAAGAAGATAAGACAAGAAGCCTTGTTTCGGACTTTGGTCAGCGCTTGAAATTTTCTGGTACTCATTCCTTGCCATGTCTGTGTGGGAAATTTGCAAACTGACGAAGAAAAAACTTCCATTGAACTAATATAAGATGAAGGTAAACGACTGCACTATGTCATCCTCTATAAAGGGGGTAAGTTTCTATAGAAACTGAGGTGCTGTGTCGGTGGGAGAGTATAGCGGTTAATTTAGTGTTAACAGCTGAGTTGAAAACTTAAATTGGCCACCATAAAGAGTAAAAAAGCTGACGTTTCGAGCGTTAGCCCAAATCGTCGTTAGATCATCATAAATAATCTTCTAGGTAATAATTTTTTACACAAATGGGAATGATGTACTTAGTGCTGGTAAAATCACGACATGGATCGTCTACCTTCAAACTGGAATTATTAGTATGTCACTATGTTGAATGATATGACGTGTTACTGTTGCCAGCATTCAGATCTGCATGGTCCCTCGGGAATCACCTAAACAAGCTAATTATCATAATGACACAAGGGGGTAAGTTTCTATAGGAACTGTGGTGCTGCGTCGGCGGGGGAATAAAGCAGGATAATTTTGGTTTTATCAACTGAGTTGATAATGTAAATTGGCCACCGAGAGTTTCAGAGGTGATGTTTCGAGCGTTAGCCCTTTGTCACCGATAAAGATGGCAACCGAATAACTTTAAACGAGCCAAAGTGGCGCCTTTACTTTTGTTTGTTTATAATATTTATAAATTTCGGTTCCTTCAAACTAATCTTCATGATACACAACATTTTATCACTTTACAGGTGATTTGTTTTACCATGGGAGGTCTCTACCCTTTTATCAGGTTGACCATCAGTGCTAGCTCACGAGACTGTAATGAAACTATTTTCATGTGAGCCCAGTACACCCGTGCGAAATTTGCTAATTTAATCAACTTATATCTGTGATTATTGCGTCAAAGGCCCTCTGATTCACTGAATCCTCCAAATCTAATGAAGCATATTTTCCATGTACAATAGGATTTTACGACTTAATTTCGTTGTATTTCACCCTTGTGTATATCAGCAGCCCTTTTCAAGAATGGGATAAATTTCTGCGATGATCGCGGAAATGAAAAAATCAAATTAGTGCAACGTGTTGTTTTATCAGACGACCTGCACGGAACTAAGCGGGCTGTTATTGTAGATCATCATTTAAAGAATCCCCGTTTGAAGCGGTAGGCGATCAACAAACGTTTAAAGTGTCCCTAGAATATCAATTAGTGCTTTTTTTATGCTAAATTAACATGAATCGGACCCCATTTTGTCAGAAGTTTTAGGCACAGGAAGCTTCAAGAAGAGCGTAGAGTGACTAGAGTGTGCAGATCCGTACGCATGATATAACACGTGATGTAATGAGCTTGGGAAATACAGGTACTTTCATATCTTCCCTTTACATAGGTACAAAGTGATATATTTCTACGACGGGTAGTGAATAGCTACGATTTGGTGATCAACTTTTTCTTCTCAAACAAACAAACTTTCCATGTTGAAAGCAATTACGAAGACGAAAAGTATTTCCTTTTGACGGAGAGACCGAGTTTGATTAACTTTCGAATTGATAGTTCATAGTTGTTTGGGTTTTAGCTTTGACGTTGAGATGAACCCCTGAGATCTCTACTTTTGACTCTCTACAGGCGGCTCAAGCTCCGGCCGTGAGACGATCATCTTGCATATTAAGTGTCATGTTCTCAACCGTTCTCATTATGCAGTTTATGGCTTATCCCAAAAGTAATGAAAGAAATATGATTTGAAGAGAGTTGAGTACGACTCAAAGTCAATATGATAAACCAACATACTAACCTTTTTCATTTATGTACACGTTGATAGACCTATGAAAAAAATCAAACAAAACTTTTATGGAATTATCTGATCTACTGATATGAATGGGTATCTTTAATGAAAATACATATACTAATTCTATTGATAAAATAAAAAGTATAAAAGGGTCCGTCGGATCCCCTGGGATTGACTTTAAGCTCGACTCAAATAATGATTATGACATGAAATTATAATGACTATGAATAAAGGGGATAAGTTTAGAAAGAAACTTATCCCCTCGCTGCCTTGACAAAGGGTATTTTGTCTTTGAAGATCTTAGACTTCAACAATAGAAGATAAAAATATGTGCATTCACCTTTGAAGTCGATGGTTGTTACTATTTCCGTCCACGACATCGGTATTACCTTGTGGACAAAACTCACATTTGTGCCAGGAGCCAACAAATGTCTTGAAATTATTCCATTTAGCTGAAGACGAAGTTTAAGTTTCGTAGCAATTCCACATATCGGCTCGACGCTCACCTGAGACAATGAAAACGTTTTCCTCGTCGGAATAGAAATTTAGGACAGGTTGTTTAAAACAGCTGACCAAGGTTAGTGCACATGTTTATCAATTTCTCTATAGTTCTGCAGCCATTCTTACTTTTTGTATTTGTCTTCTTTTCAGCAGCGTCTGCTCGTTCTCTGTCAAACATTCAAGCAGCACTCGAAGTACATGTAATATTACGCCTGGAAGACTAGATACCACAAGCCTGCTAACAACTTCAGGTGATGAATTTTGGAATACATGTCTGGCCAATCGTTGGGTTTAGTCGCTAAGATAATTATATACCAAATAAAGTAAACGCACGAAATGTCTTGGTATCCGGGTATAAAGATAAGAAGAACTTACTTCCTTCTTGGAAGGAACACCCAGGAACGGCATATACACTAAGAGGATAACAACAGTCGATACTTTATGCAGTGGAAGCCTCTGATACGGCCACTGTTTAGTCGCGAATATCTAGCCGAATGAACAGTGATTATAATTTAATTATTTTGCTCGAGGTCATGACGCAAGTCCAGGCGCGGTGCAGTTAGCGCATCAGGACCGAGGACCAAATATTTCCTCGTTTGGCACGACCTGACTGAGTTAATAACCCCTGTATCGTATAACCGCCGCTCTTTCTTTTTTCTTCCTGCTCACGTCACGGCGTAAGGCCCCGATATAGATTTTTGTCCAATCTTTCTCGATAAAGTGGCGCGCAGGGTTGCACAAGTCATATGATAACAAATATGGATTTCCCCTCTAAACGTTCTATTTTCTTAATTATGTAGTCTTAGAAATATCTCCAATCAAATGATTTAACTGCTGTATGTCAGCTCACCAGAGACGCGTATTTTTGTGCGTCAGGTGTATCAAGGCTCAGATCCTTGTAAAGTGACTCTTCTCCATAAAGAAATCCCGGTAGGCTGGCGTAGATGGGACCTTCCAGAACCAGGCTCACATCAAAAACACCTTTGGTGAACACGATCACTTTATTTACCTCAACTTATTTACCTGCAGACTCATCCAATAGGTATTTGTGCATTGAAATATGGTTTGTTTCCACCTCCTCTTTGTACTTGAAGGGAAAGGCCAAACGGAAATTAGAAATGAAAATCTCATAGCCGTTTTCTGTTGGACCATAATTGGTTGAGCAGGCTTTTAACCTTTTCTCTTCCAGGAAATTGTGTGTAGTAGCCACGAACCTTGAGCTGTTTATTAAATGCGTTTGGATATTGATTGATACTAACTGTACTTTCACCTCCTACCGCTAAGAAAAAAAAGAAAGTAAGAGTGATTATTCCGCTCAAGCAAGTCATACTTCCCTCAAAAGTCCAATTCCAGTGGCCAGGACTTATTTTGAATCACTCGGGCATAAAAAATAAACATTAAATCTTCTGATTAACCTGAGACATATTTTAGCGGATCATGTAATGTTTGAGGTCGCCATAACTTTCTAACTCTTTAAATGGAGAAGCCCCTTCGAAGGGAGAAGGTTTTATCTTTGGCCAAAATACTTATTCCCTCTAAAGCTTTGAATCCGGAAAGACGCCTATAGAAATAAGATAGTTTCTGCTTTGTATACAGAGAAATCTTTTTGTTGTAATTTACCTTTCTTTTATAGCAGAAAGCCCCCATCTTAACTCGCTAACCTCCTTTGAAGCTTGGTTTCAAGTTCCTTGAATCAGTGAAATCAGTGGAATCAGTGGAATCAGTGGAATCAGTGGAATCAGTGGAATCAGTGGAATCAGTGGAATCAGTGGAATCAGTGGAATCAGTGGAATCAGTGGAATCAGTGGAATCAGTGTTTTACATGACTTGAATTTGACCAACAACTTTGGAAATCTTTAAGAGAGGCTAACGTAAATAAGACATATTTTTCCCTATTCAGCCTGAAACCTTCCTCCTCCCTTACGATGTTGAATTCAACCTCTCAAATCTCTACCTTAAAGATTCCGTGAAGATATTTGAGCAAGGAAGATGTTCTCAAACTTTATCTATAAAAGCAAATCTGTCTCCCGTGGATTCACAGGTGTGGAATGTAGAGCTTGTTGCCACCTTCGTGGCTTCAGTTTCATTGGCATGTGAGGTTACTATCGCTGGAATAGGTATTCCGGTTGGGTCTCCTGGTAACCTTAGTACATACCCAATTGTCAAGTCATTCTGATTGGTTGTCGAGTGGTTGTCGCCCCAAAGTTGTTTTTCTCCAGAAAAAAAAGGACATATTTAGAAAGTTCAGTGATGAACGCGCCGAGGGCTTGATATGTGAGAGTATTTGAGGCGTTGAAGCATGCTGATTTCCGATCTGGACACAATAATTGTTGTATAAATATTGCAGCTCGAGGTTCCTTGGAGAGTAATTTTAAGTTAAACGCAAGACCGCACTGTACACTGAACAAACTGCCGTTCAGGCATTTTTTTAGTAGTGGTGTGTCTGTAGATGGTCCGTATTTCGATGCGTTCAGAAATGCACCTTAGAAGCCGTTCATCTCTACCACAGAGTAATTTTTTCGTAAAAACGCAAAATGTGGAGATGAATTGATTCAGGAGCCAAAAGCAGGGTTCAATGGGTATGGTAACTTTAGCTTATTGTCGGTTAGTCCCATTTGGAAGAGAATATCGCTATCATTCAGACCTTTCAGCTTTAGTCCGACGAGCGATACGTTAATCACGAGGGGTATAAGAACCTGGCTCAGGTCCTTTGCCTTGGCGAGGTAACCTGCATTCAATATTGTAAGCTGAAAAAAAAAATAAAACTTTGAGGTGCCATAATGACATCAGGATTTTCCTGATTAGGTAATGATAATTACAGCAATGTTTATTGTCATTCTTATGATAAGTTTAACGGTCAGAGAGAACGACTGTATTTTCCACTGACGAACATAGCCTTCTTTGGCTAAATTCAAGGTCCATGAAAAATGTTGTCAAAAGTTTAGGGCTTCAAACTGAAAAATTAGATCAGTGATTGACAAGTATTTTTATAATTCTTAGTGTTTAGTGTTAATTTTTGTAAAGAATAATTCCGTTGGTGTGCAATGGTTTAAGATGACCGGCGAAGAATAGAAGATGGTTTGAATATGTAGGTTTGAAAATGTTCACATTCTCCACCTCGTCGGATTTATGGATCACTCACCACTTCCGTTTTGATAGAACTTCAGCCCCCTAAAAACGTACCTCGTCGTTTTCGCCACATGTGAGACATCCCTCGTTGGTAAGCGTCCTGTTGAATTTAGCCTGTTCAAACGTCTTTCTTGTAACTTTTCCGCTCTCGAATTTTACGTCAATTCTCTTTGATGTCACATTATAAACGTAAGGACCTCTTCGACGAAGCTTAAAAGAAACACAAAATACTACTGCATAATTTTGAAGGTAAAAATTACCGCTATCACGAGGTGCCTTATGTGAAGAGCGAAACGTCTGACCGAACTCACTCAGCCGCCAAACCCAAATTGTGACATTGTGTTCGTCTAAGTAGATCATGCTCAACAAAGCAGAATTTGGAAAATTCCGGTTTCGCCATAAGCACTGCAAGCCAAAAGTGACAATTTTAAGTCAAGAGAGAAGCAGTTTTGTCATGCAATGTCTTCGAGTAAAGGAAATGGTAAAAGTAGGAGGAACAATTCGTGCATGGAAAAGAGGGATTTCAATAAGAAAACGTCAAATCCGTGCGTGTTCACCAGAATATTGAGTAATTATTATTATTTTAAAACTTCGCTTCTTAATTTGTTTCGAAAGTAATGGTAACACAAAACTGAGCAAAGGATGTTCTCTCAAAATGTCCTGAACTCCGTATTAGAGTGATTCAGACGAACTTAGCAGGGAATAAAGTGGTCTTGGTATCTTGCGGAGGCGCAACGGTTGCCTTTGCATAATTTTCCCTCTTTGGGCACTATTGCGCAAAGGGATTAATTGCCTCACGCCACGCGACACACCTTTGTCTATTCTTTATTGTTTACAGTATTAGGTTTCAGTTTTGTTACAGCTCTCGTAGCGTGAACAGTGTTTTGTCAAGTGGCGTTGTTTTTCCCGCCCACCCACCCACCCATTTCTTGTTAGTGAGTTTAGGTGAGGTGGCAGAGAGGTTTATTTCGCTTCCTTGTTTGTTACTGTTCGGTCCTATTTCATTATTCTAGGATCTAGCTGAAGAAACTTCTCTCTTGGCCAAAAACAGATTGTGTTGTTGTTGTGTTGTTGGCGGGGGGAATTATTAATCTCTAAATGTACCGCCAAAAGAGGGAAGTGGATAATTTACTTAGCTCTCATCGGTATATAAGAGATTTCACACGACAACATTTTTGTATCTCAAAATCATGATTATTTTGAATGTACCTTGGGTCTTTCTCCTCGATAACGAAATCAGGCCTTGTTGGGGATGTTCCAGTAATGAGCTCTAATTGTAAAATAACCCGGACTTGCCTAGAAATGTCCAACACACAGCGACCATTAAACATCAGTTCAACTAAACATTGTTAAACATCCTGAGCTCTTCAAGTCTCCCTTAGTTTAAAACGCACAGTAAAAACACTCGATTCAAACAAAAGAACTGCATCAAGAGAAATGACGTTCGTGTCCTCAGGGTCAACGCTTTAAGAAGATCATCGGAAAAGTACAGCAGAACACTCACCCATCTTTCATATCCCGGGCTTTCTTTGCTGTTCACACAAACTAATTCCTCGTTGTTCTCCTCTGCTGCGTTTTGTAGCACAATTCCAATGATAGCACCCAGTATCACAATGACCAGGCCTGTTATGAGCAGCGACACACTTGCCACTTTCTTGGTGTGCATGATTAAGTTTTTTTTCCTTAATTCAACAGATAAGGGTTGAAATTATTTTTCACGGCCAAGTTTTAGGCTGATTCGAGTCTCATTAAAGGCCTAGGTTTTCAGCTTTTATTAGATTCCTTAAATTGGATAGTAAGCTTTAAATTAAAGACATTTTCCATCCTAGACACGTCATTTTCGCGATATCGTCTGCCACGTCTCTACCTTGGCGTCACGAAATTTAGTGTAGGCCAAAACATTGAAGGAAGAAGCATCTTCGTAGCTCTTATTGAAAAATTACAACTCCAATTTTTTATTTGTGCTTTCTATGCAGACGCTCGAGTCTAAAATTATCCAGCAATCGTCGTCTACTTACCTAGAGGACACTTCTGGCGTTTCTATGCAGGCGCTGACGATCAGGCCCCAACAACCTACACAAAGTTTCTCTCGTTATGGTTTTTAACGGGTAAATCCAACTTCGAAACGGAAAGAATGTTAAGAATAAAAGAATATTAAGAAGGAGTTTAATAGAACGATATAAATTATTTTTATCAAAACTTGCGTCTCACAGTCACTTGTTAATATTGCGTTGCAACACGATGATCTCTGTTTACATCTTACTTACAACTGAAAACAAACCTCTTAGTTTTCTTTCTCGAAATGGTATACCTCGGAATGTATTATTTGTGACAACAGGTTTCCCTTTTATATATATATTTGTTTTTACTTGGGGTGCGTTCCTTTGAGGAATTCAGATCAGGATATTCTGAATTCATTTTCACATTGAACATTGAATCCACTCTGGACAGAGATTCATCGGGTTAATGATTTGCTGTGTTCCATGCATTGGGCAAGGGATTCGAAATTAGTCACTCAGAGCATCATACTCATTTTCCCCGTGCTCATAGCTTGGAGTACCATCCATTTCGTTGTAGTAAGTAGTCGTAATTTAGCCCTGTTTCTGTCTGTATTGATTGAAATTTATCAGAAAATTGAAGAAGCAGCTTGTACACACTTGTACAGCTTGTATGATGATCAAAGCTGGGTGTAATTTTTTTGTTGTAGCGAGGGCTTTCTGCATCCGTTTGAGTTACACCATATCTCGTCAAGTTCGAGCCCGAGTCAAGTTCAAGTGACGAGTCAAGATCGAGTTTGTTCTGATTTCTGTGTCAAAGATGATGATGTATCAGGGATACAAGAACACCCAGCTTCAAGCTTGAAAGGTTTTTCACGGCTTTTGCGAGGGTTAATTCTACACTGATTCATAGCTGCGTTCAAAGAAGTAAACACTCCAAAGTATCTACGAGTCCCCCACCCCCACCCACTCTCGACATCTTTTTAATCAATCAATGTGTAGAATACGTAAAGTAGGATATGCGATGTGGCTTATATGAGTCAGTTTTCTCGTAGTTAGAGCATCGGTTGTGGTTATCACCGAAGTTTTGTCATGTCTTGCGGACACTAAGAACCTTTGAAACGTTTAGTAAACTTGGCAACAAATCTGTAATATGGAGGGAAAAGTGCTCAACAACAATTTAGAACGCGGGAATTTTTTTCTGTGGTCAAAATGTCTGTTTCAACTGAAGTAAAAGGTAAACAACTTAGTTAAATGGACAGGTTGGTTTGTTTTGTTTTGATTTTCGGCGGGTACAATCATATTGTATTGTCTTACGGTGTTATTTTAGAAAGAGGGAAAAAATTTAAGTTGACTCGGACTTGACTCGGCTCGAAGTTGACTTGTGAAACGTTATTGATCCAGCACCTAATGATGACATAAGATTAAATCAATCAACCAATGGACTTTAACTGTTCTTACGGCTTACATTCCACATCAGATCTTAAACAATCAAAGCGATTCATAAGTATGTTCAACAATACTTAGTATAAACTCTAAAGAAAGTTTTAAGGTAAAGTTCGATTGAGAGGACTAAAGTAAATCCCGAGGTACTTTCGATTTCCCATAGTGAGATTGCTCCGAGAGCTTCCGAAAAGTCACGGACTTACTGACTATCGCAAAGCGCGTTACTGGCTGTAAACCACAAAGCAATATATAATTGCCATCATAGAGGGATGTTAAAGCATTGAGTATGAAATTATCTCTTTTGTTAAGGTATCACGGCTAAGCTTCTGCCTTCCGCTAAGGTAAGGGCTGGGAGAATTATTTTCATTAACTACTCGTCCGTGTTTTATATATATATATATATATATATATATATATATATATATATATATATATATATATGTATGTATTCCTGTTGTTGAGTTGAACTTGAATGACAGCGAGTTACAGTGAGCCTTCAAAATTCGCTGAAGCCGAGAAAAGTCGAGCTGCACTCTAATTTGCAATGCTGCAATGATATAGTGTTGACTTTACAGTGGACTTACCAGATTATCACAGAACGCTGGAACAAAAACTGTCAAACGTCAACTCAGTTTGCTGAAAAAAAAAAAGGTAAAAACCAAAAGTACCCAGAGGACGAGGTTGGTTCAATTGATCTCGTCGTGCTGCCAAACTCAAAAGGGTTCCGTTTTCACTATTTTAAGCTGTCGACCAAAGGTCAATCTATTGTATTAGTTAATTAAAACCGAGCACTAGGGTCACTTCGGTTTCTGCTGCTCTAAGGATTTCATTGTAATCTGCATCCAGCAAATTTGTGTGCATGCGTCGGTCGAACCTTCTGAGAATAGATGCACTCACAGGCAAAAGGAAATTCTGGAAATCCAGCACTTTTATCAAAAATGTAACGTCCTGAATTATACCTGTGTATACATGTACTCCTTTTCCAGTGAGAACGAAAGATCAAAAGGTATTTTCAAATCAGTCAAAACTTACAAGCATGCTGATAACTGATGTCAGACCGGTTGCTGCTGTTCTCCAATAGCAGTAAAGTGAACGATATGAAAGAAGACAGCTAGATGTCTTAAATGTTGTTGAACCACAAGTGTAATCTGCAGCCATTCTGTGCGGTTTTTTGAAAGGTAAGTTAAGTTATGTTTACCACCTTGTTTATTAAAACAAAGTTCCTAGCTGGGGAAACTCATTCACATAAAAAAGACAAAATGTAAGAAAGAAATTTTGGGGCTTTTAAAAATGAGGGAGAGTAAATATATTCACATTCCTCTTTGACCCTTCGTAGTTATCGAGCTGAAATTTGTTTTCGACATCCTGCCATGTTTGCCCATATAATTAGTTGCCTAAAAGTCTAGGTCTTGACATCAAACACCGCCACCATCATTGAGCAGCAGCGATCCTGTAGTAAACAAATGTATGCTTTGAAGATCGTAGGTACTGCCACGGAAAATGTCGGCACCTATCACTCAATATTGGAAAAATTAGAACTTCTTGATTCCCGATCAAAGATTCTGTCAATTACCGTCTCGATTTTTTTCCGTAATACGACGCCAACTCATAGAAAGTTAGCACGTAATCTGGTATTCACAACAGAGTTGATAACGTAAATTGGCCACCGTTGGGTAAGTAAGTAAATAAGTAAGTAAATAAGTAAGTAAAAACTTTATTTAGAGAGGGTAACACATGTCAGTATGACTGATAAACCAGAAGCCCTTTATGCTAAATATCTACCGAGTAATCATGAAATAATTAAGAATAGTACAAAGTATGAATATCAATTGCCAAACATCTATCATCTACAGCTAAAATTGTATATATACAAAATTAATTCAAACCACATACTTATATTTTTCTATTCACAATACTATGCTAGGAAATGCTTTTTCATGGCCAAAATAAAGGAACTGATGTTGTCCTTCGAAGAGTTTTAAAGCAGACTTTTTGAGCGTTAACCTTTCGTAATTTTCGGAAGTTATTTGTAACACACTGATAGGCATGGGTACAGCGCTTTCTCTCCGTTCAACGCAATTTTTGTCTAGAATAAGGAATAAGGCTCCTTCCTTCCTTTGCTTTTAAGTTAGACATGGCCTCAAATCTATTTGGCCAGCTCAGTGAATATATCAATGATACTGATTGATAGTAAGCAGACCAGGAAAGGGTAACGTACGAAAGAAAAAAAATTCCAAGCAAATGTATCAGAAAAAACCAAACACGGGCAAGAAAGGGATAAAGCAGAATATGCTTTCATCCATTCCAAGAAATGAAGAATGTTCGCGGAGAAAGCGCTGATGTGTGAGCAGATATTATTAGGATGCTCATGCAACTGTTCCCACAAGCTCAGGTAAGTTACTATAACGCCTTCATAATTTCAATAAAACGGTCAAAAGTAGAGAGCCACGATCACGCTTTAACAAGGGAGCTGATAATTAGAAATGAATTCCTTCATGTTTTATGCTTAAAGAGGAAATAATGTACTTTTTCATCGCTACAGGTGCATGATGGTGTACTCAGCTCAAAGCTTTCTGAAGCTAACAAAATCCTCAAAATGACGCAAACGATGCTAAGATTTTTTATCCCTGTTAGTTTAAAAATCAGGCAGACAAGTACATCTACTTATTTAAATCTCTAAAAACCATACAACCATTTTGGTATAAAATAACAGAAGATTACCGATTTCTTTGCGCATTCGATTGTGTTTTCTTTAAGGTTTTTTGGTGCTCCTTCTGCGTTACTGTGCTCCCAAGGAGAGCCATGACGTCAAGACAATAATTCATTAGAAGCTTTTGTTACCTAAATCATTCTAAAACGGAATAAGAGCTAAAGTGTCGAAAAATGTAGAATAAAACACATTGCAAAGCCAATTTGAAAAACCTCAGCTCAAAAGGGAGCGGGATTAACTTTCTGTCGCATTTGGTTAATTTTGTTGCTATCTTTTACCAAGAACAATAAGATGAGGCAAGGTTTTCGGTGACTTTCTTCCATGCACATTTTAGATACCTGAAACACTAGCCATTTCACTCAATATACCTCCCTCTCTTCTCACTAATAAATCAAACTTGCCAAATTCGCGTATTTCTCCATTTTCTAAAACCAAAATCATATCACAATCTTTAATTGAGCTCAGGCGGTGAGCTATGGTAATTACGGTACAGTCCTTCAGTTTCTCGCGTACCACCCTCCACATTTTGTGCTCTGTTTCTGGATCTACGTGTGCAGTGGGTTCATCCAAGATGATGATCTTGCTTCGGTGTAACAAGACACGAGCCAAACAAATCAACTGCCTTTCTCCTACGCTGATATCTGCGCCATGTTCGGAAAGCTTGTAATCCAACTGTCCCTCCAGGCTCTCAACTACGTCTTTCAGTTGAGTGTCTCTCAATGCTTGCCATAAATCCTTGTCTTGAAACTGCTCCAAAAGATCGAGATTTTTTCTCAGCGTTCCACTGAATAGGACTGGACTTTGTCCAAGAACCGATATGCATCGTCGAGCTTCTTGAATGTTAATCTCCATTATGGGAATATCGTCAACCATTATCTGTCCATCAGCATCTGGCATGCGCAGTAGAGCTGCCAAAACAGAAGTCTTTCCTGCACCTGTACGGCCTGCAATACCGATCTTCGTTCCGCCTTTGATTTCAAGGTTAATTTTCTTTAGTACTTGAGGTCCTCCCGGGTAATATGTCAGTGATACATCTTTAAAGGTGATTTTCCCTTCGCGTGGCCAGTGTTCTGGGGGACGTTTTTCTACTTTGTATCCAGGCTCAGAGTCAAGCTTAGTGTACGTCATAACTCGTTCCACTGACGTCATGAGATTATCAACATTCAAGCTTCTTCTCACTGCCGTTTGGGTTGTGTCTGTGATTTGGACGACGTAAACAAGTGCAAGAGTGGCAATTGCTAATTATGGAGGAAAATTGAAAATGTAAACATTGACTACTTATAATGAACCGTGTGACAGAGTACAATTTTTATTAGGAAGAGAATTACAATGTAGTTTTGAAAGTTTATATTTTCTATAAACCTTCCATGCACGGACAATATGGAAGTAAAAAGTAAAATTGGGGATTAGGATCGTGGAGGGGGGGGGGGGGGGGGGCTCCTTCCTTTTGGTAAAAATATTACGCCCCTGAATTACTTATAATTACTTTCATCGCCATTTACTGATTGAGCACAGGTATTCTTTGTACACTAATCGTCGATGGAAGTGAATAATGTTTTCCGTTGGATCATTTAATGTTTTTGAAGAAAAAATTGTCAAGACAGTCATTGGACTTGAGTTTGTTTGCCAAACCAGTATCAGATTGTGACCAGCTCAGGTCGGTGCGTATTAGGAAAAAATTTGCCTTCTGTGTTGAGAACCTTCTTTCCTAATACGGACCTCCCGAATGGCGAATAACATATGTATATGTGATTCTGTATTTTCCCACAGGAGAATAAAACTGTCCCTTCTATGAAATACTAATAATTATACAACCATTCTCATCTTCATTATCTTCATAATAAAGACGGCAGTTGGAAAATCGACAGCAACACCTGCAAAGCTTAAGCAATCACGAGACTGGAAGAACGACTACTGGAAGAGAGATGAACATTAATGCGCAAGCGTGGCCTAGAATTCTCGTCGTCGTCCACTCGTCGACTTGCGAAGAGTTTCAAGGGGCGAAAAAGTAAAATTTTTCACTCAACTTAAGAAGCGGCCAGAGCACTCAAAAAGTGTGGAGAAACAATCGACTACGTCTCGTGTATCTCCCTACACTTCTTTCGTGCTCTAGCCGCTTTCAGCATGCTTTACAGGAGAACAGAGCACAGTCAAGGCCTCTGTATTTGTTAATTAATTCGTTTGGCTATCCTCGTTATCTTCGTTCTCAAAAGTCTTTGAACAGTTTAGAATCTCGCTTTGTTTTGTCCTCTGTATTTTTGTTCTCCATGCTTTCTATATAATCTGCCACAAAACCTTGGGAGCGGGTTTTCAAAATTTTCTGAGCGGTTACAAAAGCCAAAGGCAGCTAGTGAAGATTGAATGAATCACCTTGATATGGTTCAAACGTGGAAAAACACAGTGCATGGCTCCAGCTAGGACCTATCGTTTTTCTAACTGGTGAAAAATGCTACCTGATTGGCTCCCAGCATCTTCGACGAGCTAGGGAAGGAAAGTTTATGTCGCACCTTTTAGTGCGTAAATCTCAGCGACAATTTTTCATGGTATGCATTGTGACTCATAAACGTGCAGTTGGGAATCCCTCTGCGATAGAGGGCCTGATTGCTTCATTTTGACTTCGCGAACGGGACTTTGAGCACGATGCTCGACGAGTTCGCTTGAAATTTACGAAAAGTATCTGACGAAACGAAACGCCATCCACGAAATTTTTTCACAAGTATTCGCTTAGAAATGGAATATTCTGTATTAAACGTTAACTGTCAGATTTTTTATATTAAGATCTTAACTTTGTAACTTTGGGAACCTCATCACCCCTCTTGCAGTATGCGTGCTTACCTATATATCTCAAGTTAAGCGAAACCGTTTCCAGAATTTAAGACGTGTGACTGAACAGAAATATAAGTAAATGTTTTAGTTCCGATAATTTTATTTCAATAACAAATACACGAGCATGATTCTTTGCTGATCGCGTAGGAATTTATTTTTTGTTAAATTATATATGAATAAAGGGGGTAAGTTTCTAAAGAAACTATGCTGCTACGTCGGTGGAAGAGTATAGGCCACCGTAAAGAGTTTAAAGGCTGACGTTTCGAGCGTTAGCCTTTCATCGATCGCTCTGACGAAGGGCTAACACCTGAAATGTCAGCCTTTAAACTCTTTACGGTGGGCGATTTACGTTATCAACTCAATTGATAACACTAAATTACCTTGTTAAATAACAGCGGAGCTCACAGCGCGCGCAACGTAGCCTGTTAATTATACGAAATAGTAATAACCCATCAAGCCGAAAAAAATTTGGACTTGACACCGTAGGACCGAACGTACAAGGTGCTACTTTTAGCATGCGCGGCCAACTGTACCACGGGCACTATGGAAGCCATTACGTAATGGAAGGGCGAGAAAGAAAGTAATGCGCGGACGCAATTGCGTGCATAACTTGGATACCCATTAGTGTGCTCTAGGAGACACCGGAAGATGACAATGAAGTGCGCATACTCGAGTGTCGAGCTTCAGTTTAGCGTGCCGCGGGCACACGGTTAGGAATTACAAGAGTGCTTCACTTGGGCCAGAAGATGTCAAGCCATGTAAGCAAATAATTTGAAACCCGCGTTTTGAGCGGGAAATCAAACTGGTGAGATGAAGTTGAACAGTAATTCTCAGTATTTTGCAATTTCTAATCAACTCGCAAAGCAACAATCCCGGCAGAGTTAAAGCTTTGTCAACGGGAGGAAATTGTTATAATTCAAGTTCGTGGAGAGAGGTTTTGGAGTGAAAAAAGGCTGAAAAGAAAGAGAAAGAGCGACCAAAAAAACTAGAAGTAAAAGACGTAGGGCGAGTCGAGAAAAACGGGCAAGAAAGTTAGAGAGGACACCAAAATAGATAGAATACGGTGAGAGGAGCGCGAAAAAAAACAAGAGAAGGCATAAGTAAAAAGGCGAATATCTAGCGAAGAGCAACGCGAGAAGGAACTACAAAGACGCTCCTGAAAATAGACTAAAAAAAGGTCATCAACAAAGAGAGGCGAACCATAAAGGATCCGAGAAAGAAGAGGAGGTAAGTCGTGTCTTATCTTGGTTTTTTCTTACGCTAAGGCCCAAAAGAATTCAAACCTTTTCAACCAATCGGCGTTTGATACTAGCTTCAGTTTATAATTAAAATCAGTTCGGTATGACTGGCATTCATCGCCTAAAAACCCTCGCGCCGGTTCATCGCCCGAATAACATTTCAAAGTATTCGTATTGTTTGAGGTATATCCTGTCCTGTCGTTTGGAATGTTTAATACAGTCGTTGTGTTAAGGGGAAAGAAGTTATCTTACGTATTTTAATTTGTTTTGCCTAAGAAGTTTTCAATGATAGCAAACGGCGAGCGCAAGTATCTAATTCTTTCTAGGGTATAGGGTATATGTAGCACAAGTGAAGCACATTTTAAACTTTCCATATGATTTTAGGAAACTATACTTAATTGACTTTGAATAGATTGGCCTGCGATAACTCGTTGATTATTTTATTATTTTGTAGCCTCAAAAGCCCGAATTATGACTCTGGAGGTACTTAACTTGATATACATACTTCACAAGCCACCCTTCAAGGAGGAAGGTTAGAATAAAATTGCTTTTAGGACCGTTTATTGCACCCGGTTTACATATGTAGATAGTTGCTTAAAATACTTATTGTAGCTGTATTCAGAAGCATAAACATGTCCGTAAAATGTTTCTGCTTTATTTTTGTTATAAGAGTTTTCTTTTTATGTAACATATATCCATTCAATTTCCTCCCTAAATAATTAAATTTCATGTTTTAATTGAAGTGTGAGAAGATAAAACAGAAGTGTTGCACAGCTCTCTTTCTAGATTGAATTCAGGTGAAAACATCAGTAAACTACTTGATGTCATATGCTTCTCCTGAATCTTTAATTTTATTGCCCTAGTTTTTTCACAAAGCCTCTTTTATATCTCCTTGTGCCAGCTAATGATTTAATTATCAGTGAATAGATATGTCATATTTTAGCAGTTTTTTTCAATTCCATCTTTAAGTTTTTGACATTTACTATTTTAAAATTCATAAATGGCATTCTCTTTTCATCCATGTAAAGAGATATTACATGTTTTTAACCAAAATCTGAATCATGAAGTCAACTTAATTTCAAAGAGTTTGAAACTTCATTGTATTAAAGAACACTTTCCTGGAGTATGTTACATTTATTCACTGTCTTTCTGGTACAAATGATTACCATATGTCTCTTAACCATTAACTCTCAAGATTTCGTGAGTAATTCTCCTTACTGACTGCCATACAATTTGTGATGTTAGGTTGAAGAATTTGGAATTAGATCAACCAAAAATCCCCTGATTGTTATTTTTTTCCTTATTCTTATTTCTTGTCTGCTTGATATCATACTGATAATGTAGGATAAATTCTGTCTTGGTCACTAATGGGACTAAAAGGGTTAAAAAGAGGGATTTCATTATATTATAATGATTAAAATTTTCATATGCTTTCAAATGTAACAAAAAAATGTGACGAGAATCTGATGTTATGAAACAATGGATAAACCTGTTGCTGGTAGCTTACGTCTTATGTTCATGGATAAATTAGGTGCTAGTCTCTCTCAGGGATTCAAGTGTTAACAGCTGTACACGTTTTATTAGCCCTCGTATTTGTTGGTAGTAATAGTTGAGGTTGTTAGGAACAAACAAATGAACAGAAGACAGTAAAATGAGGGAAACTGTAAACTTTACCATTTGATAGAAGAAACATTACAGAATACTTAAGAAGAGAAATTTGGATTGTGCTAGTTAATTTCCCCAATTGCCTTTCATGTTTTTGATCAAATAAAATTTAATCAATTTAAGGGTTTGCCTGAACTGTGTCAAATTGCCAGTGTGGACTTGATTCTTCTCAGATGTCAGCTGATAAAAAGATAGATACTAAGAATAGATGTCCATAAGAAACAGTTGACATCATCAAAAATAAATCACACTGAAGTGGTGGCATGATTGATTTGTGATATTTAGAATAACAGAAGCAGGAAAAACACATTGAGCTTTTTCCTATTCCTTTTGTAAGTTAATTAGATTGGGATTCTATATTCAAACTGGATGAGATTAAATTGATTCATATCATGCTTCATTATGGTTTGTTTACATGGAAAGTTATTTGTTATAATTATAGCTTAACAGATGTTTTGGTTCCCATCCCAATTAATAACCCTTTATCAACCATACAATTCTTACAATGTTAGTTCAGAGAATTAAGTATTGGATCAACTTATTATCCCCAAATTGATATTTGTCCTTATTCTTATCGCCTATCTGGTTGATATTGTATTGACATTGTGGGGAAAATTATGTCTTGGTCACTCATGGGAGTTTAAGGGTTAACATTCATGACAAAGTTTTATTTAACATTGAATGTTTCAAGAACTTGTTTTACTTTTTCTTCAATACCATTCACCATTTCAGGAGCACAATTCACCCTTTAACTTCCCAAACCTTATTAGCAATTCTCCTTACTGTCTGCCACATAGTTAGTTCTTGTGATGTTAGTTTCAAGAATTTGCTATGGATGAATTAATAATCCCTGCCCTAATTAGTATTTTTCTATATTCTCATCACTTTTCTGCCTGATATTGTATTGATATTGTAAGGAGAAATTCTGTCTTGATCACACATGGGAGATAAGGGTTAAAGGAAGAAGGTTATTGAAAAATTAGAAAAATATTACCTATATGTTTATGCCTCTGAATACAACTATAATTGGTATTTTTAAGCAATTATCTACATATGTAAACTGGGTGCAATAAACGGTCCTAAAAGTAATTGTATTCCAACCTTCTTCCTTGAAGGATGCCTTGTGTATTAAGTATGTCAAGTTAAGTACCTCCAGAGTCTTGAGCCAAGCTTTTGAGGCTACAAAATAATAAAATAATCAACTAGTTATCGCAGGCTAATCTATCCAGAGTCAATTAAGTATAGTTTCCTAAAATCGTATGGAAAGTTTAAAATGTGGCATTCACTTGTGCTACATATACGGATTTATCGTTCTTAATTATTGATGAAATTTCGAGAGTGTGATTCAATTGATTCAAAAGAAAATATCCAAGCAGGTTTCAGAAATGGTTCACAAATTTTAAAGCAATAATATGTCATGAAAACGTCCCTAAATTATGGTGCTAATACGAATTTATTGTTTATAATCAATTACGAAATTCCGAAATTGTACCTCAATGAATTTAACAGAAAACATTCAGGAAGGTTACAGAAACAGACTCTCAAAAACGGCTCTTGAATTTGAAAACTGTAAACAACAATTATTTACGTTAACCATATGCATACCAGCGTGCTTGTGAGCTCTAATTGCCAGAACCCCGTTTAATTACACGATCACAGCTCGGACGCTTCTTGCAAAATGTGATGACCAGCAATTTCAGAGATTGATTCTTCAGTTTCCAGCATTAGGAAAAAATTATCGCATCGCAAGGATGTTCATCATAACCCGAGCAGTAAGTGTGCCTCGAGATGTTGAGCGAAGAGAAAGTGGCTCCATGTTTTGTGAGACAAACCATTTCCTGAAGTTCGAACGAATCGAGTAGAAAGCATGAAAAAATAGCGCTGAAAAGTACCATGACTAAACAATTATTTTAATATGTTAGTAATATTTGATGTTTTCACGTGTAACAGGATGATCAAGCTGAAGAGAGCCTCTAAAAGGAGTGAACTCCAATGTAACAATTAGGTGACTGATTTGGAAACTTGAGCACTTGGTAAATACAGCTTGACTTGCAATTCTGATAATTAAAGTTTGCTGAGGTAATTGAAATGTCATTCCCCCATGCAGGAACCTTCCACATGACCTGTACAGTCATATGGTATGAGATAACTTTAGAAAAGCACATTTGTGTTGATAGAAGTATTGTAAGTACAGTACCACCTAGTGAAAAAAATTAATGATTTCCTGTAAGCATGGATGTTTGGGAGAAGTTATGGTGGCAATTGACCCTTTTTTTGCCAGGACGCATAGGGTCTGATAATTGTAATGTATATCTTTTAGCTTTCAAACTTTCAACTTTGTATTAATTGTAACTGTTTACCATATCTATTCCCACCTTGGGCCCTTAAAGGCAGGTGAGTCAAGAACCTGACTTCTGTCGTTTGGAATTGTGTGATTATATAAATTTGCTGTGTAAGTTACTACATTGTAACATGTAATATTATTATTTAGATGGCATTAAACACTCTTGCTCAAGCATTCATTAATGCATAGTGTTTCTTACCGATATTTATGCCCAAACTAAACATTGATCTAAGGAATTGGTCACAAGATATGCGAGTTTTAAAGGATGGAAATCTGTAAAAGCAAGGATCCTCCTTAAATTAGGACTGAAATTAATGGGGGCCCTCCTATTTTAATTCAGGTTTTTACTATGACCTGCTTCCTCCCCTATAATGTTTAGGGCTCATAGATGAAAAGAACCTTTTTTTGTATTTTGAAGCATGAAAGTTGAATTAATTGACGTCCACATAGGGCACAACGCAAGAATATAAATGCCTTAGCTTTTAAGGTTAAAAAGTTAAAATAAGAGAGTTGTGCAGACCATATCTTACTTTTTATCCTCCTCTGAATATTTTTTCAACATAGTCAATATCAGTCTTATTCACTCTCACTTTGCACTGAACTTGTGGGGAGATGATAACCTCAGTATTTCTTTAAATGAAAAAGAGCCTGCCCTCTTACCACAGATAGTTCTTTTGGGCATCATCAGTACAAACCTGGTCTAATTTGCTCATGAAGGTGATTGTTAAGACTAACCTTAAAAATTTGCTATGAAAATTTCTTGAACCTGTCGTCGTATGAATGTTTGACTCAGTTTTACCTCACTAACCAACGTGTAAACTAAATAAATAGAAACTAGACATTTATTTGTTCTCTTTTTTAGGTATTCATCAAAATTTAAAAGTCATTGCAGGCTTGAACTACAGGTTTAGAGGAAATCTGCGCGTGCATGTGTTTTCAACATATAAAACCGGGATTATGACTACTTTGAATGACTTTATTATCTGCCGTGCAGATACAGGCAGGTTTTGTAAAAAAGTTTGCTTAGCTTTTTCATTAGTACACATTTCTTTTCTAAGAATCTTGTTTATCTGGCCTATGCTAAATTCTAATTTTTCAATCAAATTTTCTTCTTTTTTGAATATTCTTATATCTTCTAGATCAGTTAATATTCATGTAATTAAAATAATTACATGAAATCTCGCAGATGTATGGCACATAATTTTTTCCTCTGATCTTCCTAATATATTATTATGTCTAAGGATTGGTATTGGCTATAAAATTAAAGTCAAATTAAAGTTTTGTGCACAGCTTATGCATCAACTTTATGTAATAGAATATTGTATCCTTCTTAAAACTAGTTCATCAGAATAAGAATGAGTTACCAGGCACAAGTCTGGCTTTCATGATGGTAGTTTCCAGGTTTGAAAAAGTCACTGCCGACTAAAATCCTCATTTTCTTTGCCCTGACAACCCAACCTCATCAAAACATTGCCAACAGGAGCAGTTAGCAAATTAATGATGAAGACAAGAGATTCTATTCCCACTTATACCCTTCTCAATCCTGTTAGCTTACTATGGACTTGACATTTCAAACATGGTGTATATGCCACAAATTTTCCATTTCCCTGACTAATTATTTTTTAATGGTGTTTAAAAGTTGTGGAAAATAGTTGGGTTGAAATAAAATGCAAAGACTTGCCAGCAGATAGTCAAATGAATACCTTTTACATATCAATAAAATTTATTGTTGCATTTCATGTTAACATGTTGCAACAAATCCACCTTTCAGTAAATTCAATTAATGGCAAACTTGAGGAAATACCATCTAGAACTTTTCAACCTCCGCTTTTAGGCTTGGCTAAATCTATGTATTATAGTTTGTTTACTTGTTTATCCACCTTGAAAATCTGGCAAAAATGGTGCAGAATAGATGATCGTTACGTACAACACATAATTTACCTCGTTGTCACACAATTTACCAAAAGTTTGGTATTTTAAATGTTATAACGACATTCAAGTTGCATCAGTTAATATAGGTACCGAGATTAAAAAAAATTCGGAACAATGGAACACTGACCTTGATATACTGAATTACGTCCTAGATGTTCTTGCAATTGAACGTTACAAATCTAGAATCAGGTCTAGAACGAGAAGCACTGGCAAATTATGTGAATGCCATACCACCGAGAAAGTTCCTAGTCACAGGAAAGTCAGTCCACGACCGATACAATATTTTGACAAAACAAATTCAGGATTAAAATCGAAAAACAGTCAAACCTGTATTAAGCGGTCACCCACGAGAAATGGCTTGGTAACCGCTTAGTGCAGGTTGACCGCTTTATACTGCAGAATAGAGTATTATAAAGAATCGATAGAAAAGGTCATCATGGGCCATAATTGACCGCTTAATATACAAAAATTCGCTCAATAAAACAATTAACATTAATTACGGGAGATAAATATCGATAAATATTACGATAAGGATTATTCTCAGTTTTGCTTGAGTGGTTCCGTTTTAAAAAACTGTGTAAATAAGAGGTAAAAATTTCGGAAGTTAGACAACTGACCGCTTAATACATAATGCCCGCTAATTACGGTGCCGCTTAATACAGGTTCGACTGTAAGAAGAAAGAGACAGTGGTATCGATGTTAAGATTTCACAGCTTGATTTTCTTTTAGAAGAAATACTTAAAAATGAAATAACTAAGAAAAGCAAAGTTTTCAATGCGCCCGAAGGATGTCATATCTCTTTACGACGCGAAGTTAACCGAAATTTCAAACGCCGTCGTCTTTAAATAACAACATCGCTTTAGTTTCCTTTTGCCGCCCAAAACGTCCTTTTTTCCGTCTCTCGTTCTCTGCGCTTACTGGTCTTAACGTCGTTCTTTTCGTCATAGTTTCTTAAACTTCCTAAACTAATGATAACAAGGACGGCGAAGACAACAACAACGGTGACTGCAACGGCAATGACGACGATAATGAATGCTGACAATGATGATGCTAAAAGTCAACTTCTCATTAAGAAATCAGATATTTCTCTAACTTAAAGTTAATGACTTTTTATGTTTGTTGACAGTGAACCGAAAACATTCCCTCTCTTTAATACTTACCGGCATCTTGGGCCACAAACGCTGTTGCTGCAGCAACTGAACCAACTATCAGGGAAGCAACAACGTCCAGGCGCACTCCGAGCCATCTGGCACTGGCCATCACCATGATAGATATCTGATTATGGGTATCTTGGTATCTAGGAAAAAGAAATTGGTAATTGTTCCGCGTGTTTCCGCAACTTGTTTGTTTGAAGGTGCAAAGCAGAAATTCCTTTTTTTAACAAGGCGTCACTTCTACAGAAAGAAACCGCTAACGTACCTGTATAACTCATGGACGAAGTCTCTCTGCCTATTTCTTGTCCGAATTGTATCCAATCCATTCAAAGTCTCCGATATGTGGGAGAAAACAGGGCTGCGGCTGATTGATTCCAACCTTTTTAACTCTCGGGACGTTTTCGAGTAATACTTGGAGACGAATGCCACAAAAGTCATCAACGGAATAATGACGAACAGGAGCCAAGGATTTGCAACAGTTGGTATAAGTATCGTACAAATAGCCAGTAATGATAACTGAATTGACAACAGAAACTCTTTGGGCAAAAGCTCGTCCATGCAGCCAATGTCTTTCGAGAACCGATTGAGTATTCTTCCTACTGGATTTGAATCAAAAAACAACACTGGTGATCGCAGAAGAGCCACTACCATCAAGTCATGGAGACTTTCAGAACATTTCAGAGAAATCCATAGGAAAGCATATGCTCGAACGAAGGCGAGCATAACGCACCCACTGACAAGACAAGTGTAGATGATAATGTTTATCTTGTTTCTCTGATCTTCTGGAAGCTTCTTCGTCATAAGCGAGAGCCAAACATCGGGAGCGACAATTATTGCTGAAATTAAAACAAACCAATTAAGTTTCCACAAGGTCTAATGCTACAGGGGTGACTATATGTAAGTAGAACTTAGCAATAACTGGATAGATAGTCTTTCTAAATTCCACGTCTGCAAGTAGAGTGTATTAGTTTTCACTTACGACAACAACTTTCTCAGCCGCGGCCATCGACAGCGACCTAGGGTTGAACATTCACCTCCAACTTGAAATACATTGGCACATCAGTTCAAAACAAAAACTCTTATCGATTTACGAGTTAAGAAAGGGTAACTCATTTTTCTCTCGATCTACTGTCAACCTAGGTTCACAATTTCAGAAATTTGCCACTAAAATGAATGATTTCACGCTCTTCTGTTGTCCTTGACGTGAAGAACAAAGTGCACCCTCATTTTCTACTACCTCAGCCAGAAAAAAGCTATAAAAAATTCAAATCTTCATGGGATCTTTATGTAGGACTGACCAACATGACGAAATCTCTTCACATGTAAAATCACTCTACTTCTTGATCTCGATTCCGAACGCCGCAAGATAATAAACAGCAATTAGGTTATAGCAGGTCTCTTGTCTAAAGTTGAGTTCTTTTGCGTTTTCCATGAAACACAGTCGACCATCAGATCAGATAAGAAAGGCTTACCTTGCGCAATGGGGAACAAACACATCATGGAAAGGATTCCCATAGAGTGAGTTCCACTGCTGAAGTAGTCCCAGTAAAGCTTCGGTGACACCCTTCCGATAGTACGATCCTCATCCGATATTGTCAGGCCCTTCTCTCCAGTGGATGGTGGATCTTTTTCGTCGCTAATATCGATGAACTTCTCTTCTTGTTCATTATATTTCTTGTCGGATGTCGAATCTTTTGGAGCTTTCTGATGCAGTGGATTAACAGTCGTATTAAGAAAACCTTCCCCTTGAAGATCTGTGAAAGTTCCCCTTCCTAAAACACGGCCTTTGTTTAAGACTACCACTTCAGTCGCCTCTTTCATGTGCTGCTCTTGATGAGAGATTAATACCCTGGTTTTGTCGCCCAGGAAGTCTTGAATACAGTTTTCAAAGATGTGTCGACCAACTTTAAAGTCCAAAGCACTGAAAGGGTCGTCCAACAAATAAAGATCTGCATCAGCGTACACTGCGCGAGCTAAACTTACTCTTGCCTGCTGACCGCCGCTAAGAACTTCACCGCGTTCTCCAACAACAGTTAAGTCTCCATCGGGCATTTCCTGCATGTCCTTATCAAGTGCACACGCTCGGAGCACTCTCTTATACATCTGCTCATCGTATGGCAGACCAAACAAGATATTTTCCCGAATTGTCCCGGAGAAGACCCATGCAATCTGTGGAACGTAAGCAAGTTTTTCTGGGCGAGTCAGTGTTCCATTTTTTTTTGGTACCTCTCCGGCGATGGCCGAGAGTAGAGTAGATTTCCCACTTCCCACTGGTCCAGTAATAACTGTCAAGCTTTTTGATTCTGTTCTAAGGTCGATATTTTCTAAGATGTATTCCTCTTCTCGACCGACTTGCATGCATGTCAAATTCGACACACACAAATCTATTGCCATGCCCCGCTCATCCATTGCATCGTCAAAGTGATTGACTTCGACTCTTTCCTCGTGATCCTTCAATCCGCTTTTTAACTCTTTCAATTCAGATTTACTTTTGTCAGACGTGTGATCACATGAGACTGCAGGCAAATCTTTTAAGAGGAGGAAATCTTCTATTCTAAGAAGCGATACATAAGCTTCGTATATTTGCAGCCAACCATAGGCCAAGAAACAGCAAGGATTTAGTCTTTGAGCACCAATGAAAGCGAGTAGCATGGTGACATTCACAGGTGTTAGGGTATGTCCTGTTAATAAAAAAGTCAGGACAGACACCAAGAGTGCTATAGGTCCTGAAGAGCCTTCCAAAGTGACAAGAGCTGTCAAAACCGCATTTTTATTATTGAGGATTTTAATTTCATTCCTAAAAAACCAAATCAGACAATAAATGGCTTTTAATTTGATGAAATGCACGTAATGGTGTTCACACTAATATCGGACTCGGAGTCCTCGTTCCCTTAACCAGCTCTCGAAATAAAACAAAGCATGATTAGATATTGAAATTTAATAATAAGTTTTATATTATACGGCTCTCAGATTGAATTTGCTAATTTCGAATTTTCTTGCTTTTGAACCAAAATACAAGGCTTATCCGTTTCTGAAGAAACGGTCTATACGGTAAAATCCTGTCCAGGTAAGAACCAACCGATCACAACGCTCGGTTTTACCTCAAGACCAACTCACCATATCATAAATATGCATACCTTTCTTGGTTTCTGTTTGTTTGCAAATCTAAAAATTTTCAATTGGTATTAATCATATGAGCATCATTTCTATATGGTATCTCGTCACTGCGCTCATTATGCCTTTACAAGACATTACGTTAGTCCCTGACTCGTAAGTACTAAGGAAACTTAAATATGAGAGGTAATTATAAGATCGTCTTTTGGTTACCTGCGTGAATATTTTATCCTTGCTCTGTATTCATTCTCGCATGTATACATTTTTATGGCGCGAATTCCAGAAATCACTTGGTTCATCAAAGAGAGGCGTAGACCCGACATTTCTGCTGTCTTCACTCGTAATACACCGTTCATGTAGGATAACCCAGCAAAGTATACAATAAGAAGACTAAGGGAAATGAAGCCCACAAGTGCTTGCCAGCCAATAAGGCGCTGGAGTAAGAATGGTAACGCCAAAAACTCTACAGTTGAAGAAACCGTCAGAAAAACATATTTGACAGTTTCGCCTTCCATTCGCTGAACGTCATTGGATAAAAGCTCAATTACGTAACCTGTCGTGGCTTTCAATACCCCGTGTTTACTCAGAAGTAGCATCTACGAAAAAATATTAGGGAGTTAACCTATTATCGAAATATCTTTGTCTTTGTCGTCACTATTAAACCATGTACAGGACGGAAGAAAAGGGGCGCAATATTTCCTCCCTCCATGGGGCAAATATATTATGACAAACCAGCCTCAATTCCGTATGATAAAAGTTTAAAGTCGGCGATAATTTTGGAGCCTATCCTCCTAGCGTCAAGAGGAGAGACGAAAGACAAAGCAAATGGTAGTACCACTGAGAAATACTGGTTTGAGGACATGTGATATATCAGAAGGTAGGTTTCCGGTCTGTCTTCAAATTTTTCCGATCTGTCAGTTGTTTTTGTTGATTTTTCTGTGTAAAATGGATTTTCACATCAACGCTCAAATTTGCTTCAGAATGAAATTTAACGTAGTTGAGTGTCGCCGTGGAGACGGGTTTTACAGCTGATTTCCTTTCACATACATAATATTGGCTCACCAACCATCCATTCAATTCAATTGCAACAAGCTAAAAAACAGCACTGCAGTCTACCATGCCTTTTTTTTTTGAAGACTGGACCGCTTTTTCGTGAATTTAGCAACTATTTTAGTATGTTAATGTGAAGCAAGGCAAGGCACGTTGATGCAAAGCCAAGATTAAGTTGCCCTCACCCGGTTGTTTTAATTTAACCCTAGCAATTCCCTTTGGCGTTCATTCGGCTGCGTCAACTAAGCGGTAGTTTCTATAAGGATACTCAGAGACTATCCATTTACTTACCTTATGGTAAATTAGACCTTTAAGGGCGCAACTCACTCTGATTCCCGTCAACTCGCCTCTATAACAAACGTGATGATGTCCCATAGCTTGAAACAAACTGGTAATGAACATGGCCAGAGCTGAGAGATAAGCAAGATTGTTCTGTGCTTGAGATGAAAGGAGTGCGGAAATAAGATATGTTATCAGCAGAATAAGAGAAATCTTAGACACTGAGTACATGGCACCCGACAATGAAAAGATAATAATATCCTTGACGGAGAGCATCTTCAGAACGCTTTTCCAAAGTCTTGGTTTTTTTCCATTTTCTCTGCACTTGGTTTTCTCTTTGTTCCAGTTTGATTGAAGTTTTTCGGTCGCAGCACGAGTTGTGTTTTCAGTGGAAAGAGGTACAAAGTCACTCTCCTGTAAGGCCCGTTTACTGCCAGTTTTAAAGGTGCTGTCCATCCAGCTAAAAAGAAGATAAGACAAGAAGCCTTGTTTCGGACTTTGGTCAGCGCTTGAAATTTTTTGGTATTCATTCCTTGCCATGTCTGTGTCTGGAATTTGCGAACTGACGAAGAAAAAACATCCATTGAACTAATATACGATGAAGATAAACGACTGCACTATTTCACCTTCTAGCTAATGGAAACCCTTTTAATGGTGGCCCAAATCGTCGTTAGATCATCATAAATAATCTTTTAGGGTAATAATTTTTTTCACATATGGGAATGATATACTTAGTGCTGGTAAAATGGCGACAGGGATCGTCTACTTTCAAACTGGAATTATTCGTGTGTCGCTATGTCGAATGGTATAACGTGTTACTGTTGCCAGCATTCAGAGCTACATGATCCCTTGGGAATCATCCAAACAAGCTAATTATTATAGTGGCAAAAGGGGGTAAGTTTCTATAGAAACTGTGGTGCTGCGTCGGCGGGGGAATATAGCAAGTTAATTTTGGTTTTATGAACTGAGTTGTTAATGTCAATTGGCCACCGAGAGTTTCAAAGCTGATGTTTCGAGCGTTAGCCCTTTGTCACCGATAAAGATGGCAACCGAATAACTTGGCGCCTTCGTGGAATTCAGACATCGATTTTGCTTGTATTTGTCTATAATATTTATAAATTTCGGTTCTTTCAAACTAATCTTCATGATGCACGACATTTTATCACTTTAGAGGCGACTTGTTTTACCATGGGAGGTCTCTACCCTTTTGTCAAGTTGACCATCTGTGCTAACTCACGAGACTGTAATGAAACTATTTTCATGTAAGCCATAACACCGGTGTGAAATTTGTTAATTTAATCAACTTATGTCTGTGATTATTGCGTCAAAGGCCCTTTGATTCATCGAATCCTCCAAAACTAATGAGGCACATCGTCCATGTTCGATAGGATTTTACGACTTAATCGCGTTGTATTTCACCCTTGTGTATATCAGCAGCCCTTTTTCAAGAATGGGATGAATTTCATTACCAAGCTCAAAATTTACCATCTCTCTTGTTTCTATGTACAAACATTACACATCGACATTGCTGATCCTAGCAGTATGCAGGACCTGTATCATATAAACTTCGTGCAGTCTCTGTGGCTTAGTGGTAGAGCATCAGAGTGTGAAATCCGAGGGTCTGAGGTTCGTTTCCTCATGGGGACTCAGAATTTTTTCTTTGTCCCACGCTCATGACAAGACAGAAAACATCTTTCTTTAGAAAAAAAAAAACGTTTCTGTTTTAGAAATCCTGGCAACTCAAAAAGCGTTAAGAACAAATTCAAATATACTGACCTCAATTTGGATATTATATTCTCGAGTGTTTTATTTCATTGTTTGTTTAATTCCATTCGTGAACAAAGAAGCCCGCTGCTGCAGAAAAAAACGTTTCTGTCTTAGAAATCTTCTCACCTTAAAAAGCGTAAAGAACAATGCAAATATACTGACCTCAACTTTATATTCTCGAATGTTTCATTTCACTGTTTGTTTAACTTCATTCGTGAACAGAGAAGCCCGCCGCTGCAGCCAAGATCAAAACCAGCTTAGTTTTCGACGAATTCTACGTAGCTCACTTTTCACATTTGTACCCTTTACACTGTTAATACAATTTTTCATGAAAATTCTGAAGGAAACCGTAGAAGGGCTGATAATAATGCCAACTATTTCATGAATGTGTTCCCACGCAGTTCATCGTAAATCTGTTTTGAGACTATATTCAAATTATGGCTCGCTTTGCATATCATATCACGCAAAAGTTCGCGGCTGTAGTTGGTACATAGGTTGGGTAAGGTATTCCCAGTGGCCAAGATTGGATCTTTTTGCCGTATGTCTCTTCTTTTGTTTTTGACGATCGTTGTTCCGAAAGCAAATCAGTTCCAAAAAGGAAAGAGGTCTCGATGGTTCTAATTGAAAGAACTACCCTACGTAATTTGCATAGCGCGGCAATGTTTTGACGTGGGTGAGGATTTCACATAAAAGCTTTTGTCGTATAAAACGCTTCACAACTCAACCATTTTATTTTTTACCACAAGGTCGCGTAAAAAATCACATGAGCATAACATTACTTTTAATGGCATGCAATAAGTGCAAACAAGATAAAATAAAGATATAAATAGATACAAACGACCAAAAAGCTTTCAAAGCAAAACCTATTGTAGGTACACTGTGCGGAGATCAAGATATTTCAATCTATTTACTTGCCTTTGTTTTTATTACCACAAGGTCGCGAAAAAAATCGCGTAGGCATAACATCACTTTTAATAGCATGCAATACGTGCAAACAAGATAAAATAAAGATATAAATAAATACAAATAACCAAAAAGCTTTCAAAGGAAAACCTATTGTAGGTACGGCAGGTAATTTAGTGTTAACAACTGGGTTGAAAACGTAAATTATAGGGTATATATTCTTTACCGATTTCTTGACAGTTAATATTCAGGGTGCGAGTAAATTTTTTTCGTTAGAGAAACGTGTGTATCTATGGCTATTTTGCTTTCACTTTAACAACGAAATTCTGATTTAATTCTATTTGTGGATATCCCGCGCGGAAAGGTCGTTGAACCCTCGTTTTAAGCATTGTAAAACACATCACGTATCCTGTTCTTTATATATTGTACTACTGCAATAAGTATAGGAAATCGTATGAACGCGAGTGCATTTCGTGATTTATGGGCACGAGTGATGTTTTGAAAGCTCTCAAAATTGCACGAGCCGTAGGCGAGTGCAATTTGAGAACTTTCAAAACATTACGAGTGACCATAAATAATGGTAATTGAACTGAGTGGAGTGCAATTTGGGCTGAAATCATACGCGTGATTTCAAAATTGAATGCGCGCCCAGCGCGAGTTCAATTTGAAATCACAAGTATAATTTCAGACCAAAATTGCACAACACAAGGTTCAATTACCACTTTATTACATCCATTTTGAAATCGCCCAAATACAGGACTTGGTCAGTTCAAATATTTATTACTACAATACTGAGCCAGTTTGTAATTAAAGTCATCCATTTTTTGGGAGGAAAAAATAAGAGTTTTGGAAACAAAAGTTGCAAAATTTGCCGCATGATCCTTCATGTCTTTCATCTTCCTGCAATTTGATCGGTTACTTTAAACAAGCCTTGAAGTCTGATTGGTTGTTTTGTTTTTAGTGTAGCCTCCTCTTCAACTGGAAAAAAGATGCGATTTAAAGCAAAAAATGGTGCAATTCGTGAATAAATCGCACCAATTAGAGCCAATCAGATTACAGGGACCACCAGTGATTTCAAAATGGGTGTAATAAATCACGAAATGCACGAGCAGGTTCATACGATTTTTTATTTATTATATTCTCGACAAAATTACTCCATCGCGCTACTCTGCACGCCTTACGTACTACAAAAAACACTTCAATGGGTTCCAAAATGCTCACATGTTTTATTTGAACCAATCAAAAATGTAATGTTGTGACAGGTAAATCAAGCGTGACGTTCTTGAAAGTTTCTCAGAAAATATTACAAGCCGAACTCAAAAGCTAAATTTCAGTTATTAAAAGCGGCAAGAGTACTTAAGCCCGCTAAACTGTTTTCAAATGTTTGATCTCAATCGGCCTCAGGGAATAACATTCTGACTTGTAGACTTTGGTGAACTGCATTGCCCCTGAATCACGTTTAATGTGACTTGACAGTTGTGAAAGTTGTTCACAGTGAAAGCATGGCCGCTTGTTTTCACCTGTTCACACGTTGAAGTCGTTGCAGGAGAAGACCACATTGGTAGACCAGGAAAACTGCTGGAGGCTGCTGACTGTGGAGCATTGCTGATAATGTTTGAAAGCTGTCGCTGTTCCTTCTCGCTACCTTCATCGTAGTCGTTAAGAGACTTTTCACTTGCGTGGCCGGTCACCTGGATTATCGACTGCCTCTCGACGCTTGCTGCTCTGAGTTTCTTCACAACTGTCTTCCTTGCGGTGTGGTTAGTCAATTTCTTCTTGCTTGTTTCCAGAGCTGTGTTCTTCACGACGCTCTTCATCATATTGTCGATGCTGTTTACGCCGAGCCGCTGCTTCTTGTACCAAACATTTGTTTTGGGATTTTCGATTATGGCAAGGTAAAAAGGACCTTTGTCGCGCAGCTCTTGAGGACGCCTACTAAGGTATTGCTTCAGTAATTCAACAGGACATCTCTGACCGCCAGTAGCGAACATTTTTGGCAGAATACTGGAGTCCTTTTGTGTTCTCTTCAAGGTTTGCGTGAAGTTACGCAGAGATTAAGTAACTGTTCATATTTATTCTCATCAATACGCGTTTGGTTTAGTTCACCGGTACTTGTCTGTTACATAATTTCTTTCAATTAAGCCATTTTTCCCCCATCATCTACGTTAGTTTTAGCGAGCGTCTAAATTATTTATCAATAATTTTTTTCACATGGATAAACTACAGATTGTAATTTCGTTTTCTTTCGTATTGTAATATTTATATTTTGCACTTAAATATTTGTCTTTGTTTTCTGTCCAATCACGCCAACACACACACATTCACTCTTATAAGATATCTGTGTACTCGATGTTGTGGCGTAAGAATTAGTAACGTCTATTTACACAACTCAAAATGTTGTAGGGCTACAATAGTTAAAAAACACAAATCCCACGAAGCAATCATCATTTAATCTCATCTCTGAATTGTCACTAACAAAATAAATTTGAAGTGCGATATAGACGAGGAAAATCTTCTTTAGCTTTGTTTCATCAGCTAATTGTGTTCAGGAATCAAAATATGTCCGATTCAATTGTGGTACCCACTGAAAGCTATATCATACCGTTATCCATTGATCCGCCCATCGATCTCATCTTTCATTAATTTTTTTTTTCTCTTATTTCTTTTGGCCGCTTTTGACTGTTACTCAGTCATTCAAGGCAGTCACTGTGAATGTTCCACTATGGAAATTAGATCCAGACAATACTGCAAGCCTAGTAGCACTGTACATTCCACCTCGACACAGCGGAAAAGTGAGAGCGCATGCTCACCGAATTTGGCGCGTTCTACGAATCAAGTGTGAATGAACTTTATTGGGGAAAGAACAAAACATCGCACTTTTCTTGGACTGTTATTGTTGAGAACAAAGTGGACTAAGGATAAATTTTGTTCCTATGGAAAAGTTTGATGGGGTATGTAGCATTCTCTTAACTCTGGTTCATCGTTAGCTGTTTTAAATTCATCCAAACAGCTAAAGTGAAAGCAGTCACTATGAACTTAGCCGGTAGCCATACTTTCATCTCTTACCGCTGAGGAAGTGTGACAGAAATTTCCTGAAATCAGCAACCTTATCTGTTTTGGTTTAAGCTTATTCCTGCAAAATGAAAGCGAACAATGTGAAGTTAAAAATGCCACCATTTTGATCGGATGAAGTGGTGGAAAATCTCTGTGGACGAAAAAGGGATCTTGGAGTGTCGATCGTGTACAATGATTGGCCTCATTTGCGGTAAATTTATTAATCGAGTGAGAACATGCGAAACCATGTTTGAAAGTTCTGAAGCCTGTCGACGGAAAGGGACCTGCGACTTCGTACTTGAGCAAGGACTAATCAGTGGCTACAACTGAAGGTAACTTTTTAACTATTGACAGTGAATGTTTTCCAGTGTTCGCGTTTAAGGTGATATTCTTTGTAAAATCGAGTTGATGTCGAATATTCGTTCTATAGTCACGTTTTGGGTATTTATTTTCGCACGATGTGGTACTGCTTGAGCTAAATATTAATTAAAAGTTATCTTCACTGCCAATCATACATTTTCTATGATCTCGTGTCTGAGAATTTTGCGTTTAATCAAACGATATCCTCCAGTTGACATTTTTTCTTTCTCTCACAATCTATCTCCCATATGATGTACTTTCACATGTATTTTAAGGAGAAATAAGTTTTTGGTCAATATTGGAGTGATAGGGTTGAAAAATTCCTACTTGGAAATTTGACGCCTTCTCATGGCGGAGATTACACGAGGAACCAAGACAGAAACTTGTACTCTAAACCGTTCTATCTACTGATATCAGTAAAGGATTTTTTTACACAAAACCAATGTGTATGAATCCTAGGTTACCTTTATGAAACAACCTATTTGTTAGTGAATATTATTGATGTGTCACTGCAAAGCTCAAATGAAATTGCGTGTTACTCCTGCTTCTGGATTCACACAAACATGCTGAAAAATGTCTGAACTACAATAAGTTACCTTAAATTTTTGTCTAACTGTATTCAATCCATTACCCTCTGCAAAACTTAGAGGTTAGTAGTTCTGTTTTATCCCAAGGAATCTTTTGCCTTTTCTTTATTTCATGACTTCCTTAGGGTCCTTCATTAAATAATGTTAATGATGAAAGTAGTGATTGTGATATTTATAGTGATAAGTCTTTATTCATCATGATAAAGATACATATCAGATGTTACATAACACACATACAAACATGGGTTAAAAAGACAGATCAATTCTTTCATCACACAGGTATATAGAAATGTTATACCTAAAATTTAATTTATTAAAAAAGTTATCCGTAACAAGTTCTGTATTTATTTTGGGTCTTAAGCTGGATCTGTTTTAAGGTGGGCAGATCAGGTTCTTTATTCATGTACCTTGGAAGAAATCCATGCAATGGATGGTCTTCATGTTTTATTTTATTCTCAAGCCCTAATGATGTGCAAAAATTTGCACGCACATTAGTCACTTGACGAAAATGGCTTTTTATTTGATCTAATTCCAAAGGTTTTCAATGTGGTTCAAATTGTGTTCAGAACTTTGTAAGTTATCTTTATCATTATCATTATCTAAGTGGTGGCTTGTGCTTTCTTTGATTAATTCTTGAGAGTTCTTTAATTAAGCTTTAATTACTTGCAAACTGTCTTTGGTCTTGTGGGCTCATCAGTTGCTCAGAGAACTTTTTCCTGTATTTGAAACATATTCCAAAGGTTTTTCAATCTGGTTAAAGTTTGTGGTGAAGGGATTATATGTCAGTTGTCTTTGTTTAAGTGATGGTAGTAATTTCAGAGTTACAAAAATTTTGATGAAGAAATCTTGGTTTCCATTAAACTTAGAAAATGTTGATATTTGGATGGATCATTTCTTTGTTAGAATACTGGTATGTCTGAAAATCATTGGCTGCCACTGTAATCTAACATTACTTCATGTACATGTAAACATTACTTCATGTACATGTAAATGTGATTGAGTGGTACATGTATGTACAGAAACCACAATGTTTATAGCTGACTGAGAGATTGTAAACCAATGTACATGTAAATAACATGTAAATAATAATCTTTTAAATTATTGTGTTTTATTGAACATATATCAAATGGAGGATAAATCACAGGAAAGTGAATTTACATTGAACATTAAATCTTTGAGATATGGGAAAATTGTCAATGTTTATTTTGATTGTGTACTTTGCAAGTTTCTCTTCCAACTGAATGGAAGATTTGTTAGTTTTTTGTGATGAACATTTTGTCTCAGTGTTTGTACATACATTATACGGTTATGCTGATATTTTGTCTGCTTTAAGTAAACACATTTGTGGAGTTATTCAAAGTCACTGAATATCTATTTAAACTAAAGGAAAGTCATGACAGCAAGGAAAATGAAACACCTGAAGCAAAACTTGACACCTTAAAATGATAGTTTCATCTGTAAACCACAAACTACATATTTAGTATGGGATGATATGAGTAAATTACCATGTAGCAATGCATCTGAGAGAAATTAAAATACTTGCTATACAAGATTACCTTCTTGATCATTTATAGTATTGGCAGTATTATCTGAAGAAAATGTTCTTCATTTTGGTTCATTTATTTAAATTGCAAGAAATGATCCTGATAAAAAGGTTGTATATCAATTTAAAAAGGCAGGGATTTACAATAGTCTCAGGATTATACTTACTTATAATGAGGAATACTGAAACTTTTGGAGTACATTGTGAGTTCAATTGTTGTTGTTTTAAAATGACACTAGTAAGCTAAAACTGAGAAACTCCTACATTTAATAAGAAGACTAACATTTATAATATAATAATAATAATAATAATAATGTTATTTATCCAGGGAGCTCACATCACCAAAGGTGTTATTCAGTGAGGCCCTGCCAAAAGAAAGAAAAATGTTAAATTTGAAAGGTTAAAGATAGTTAAAAATACAATATTAAAATGTTCAATAAAATTACATTATAAAATGAGTTAAAAAATTGCGGTCTTCAAGGTTTGCTTAAAAATTAAAAGTGACCTCATGTCACGTATTGACTTGTCAAGACTGTTCCATTCTCCCAGTCCTTGATATAAAAGGCGCTGTTTTCCATAATTGCGCCTAACTCGCGGTTAGTAAAAATTGGATATGCCACGAGTATTATAAGAACGGATGTCACTGATTAGCTTTGTATCAAACTTAAAATACATACATACATACATACATACATACTTTATTTATTCCAGAAGCAGATGATAACTATTATATACAAATAAAACTAAAAAGAAGATACTTCTAGAAAAGGAAGTTAAGAGGTTATCCCTGTGTAAAAACTCCCTTAAAAGAAAAGACAAAATATAAATCAAAATCATTACAATCAAATATTTAAGTACGATTTAAGTTTAGATTTAAAATGCTGAAAGCTGTCAGCTTCCACTATATCACCCGGTAACTCGTTCCATAATTTGACAATCCTAATAAAAAAAGAATTTTTGTAACAATTAAGTCTAGCTGGTTTAATATAGAGTTTGTATTGATGATTTGCTCTCGTAGACCGAATCGTGGCAATATCAAAGAAGTCTTCAAAATTTAAATGATAAAAACCAAAAACTATCTTATAACATTCGACTAAAGATAAGTAAGTTCTACGGTCAGAGAGAGGGGCCATTTTAACAGTTTGCATCGGTCTTCATAGGACATTTCTCCTTTGCGTTGATTTAAAGCGAGTCTTGAGGCTCTTCGCTGTACATTTTCAAGGGGCATGGATGTCCTTAACAAGGTAAGGACACCAAACAGGTACCGCATATTCCAAGATTGGCCGTACCAGAGACATGTACAGCATAGAAAAAACATTTGTGTTAGCGGTGCCTACTGAGCGTTTAATGGAACCTAAAACTTTGTTCGCTTTATTGACAGTGATACTTATGTGATGGCCCCATGAAAGATCTCTAGTTAGTGTGACACCGAGATCTTTAAAATTAG